GATAGATGTCTTTCTCTGATTGACTTATTTCGCTCAGCATAATACCTGCGAAGGGACAATGTGCACCCCAATGTTTATAGCAGCAACGTCCACAATAGCCAAACTGTGGAAAGAGCCAAGATGTCCATCAAAGGATGAATGGATAAAGAAGATATGGGGTATATATATACAATGGAATATTATACAGCTATCAAAAAGTATTATACCCTGTTACTTTTAATCCCACCTGAGAGTCCCTTAACTCAACATCTAGAGTGTCAATGGATTTGCCCCCCTAACTCCTCTTTTTGTTGGAGAGTCAAAAGATGCTAATAGATTTGGGTTTCAACCATCCAAAATTTGTATTTTAAGTTGAGGCTGTAAAGTGTAAAAAACAAGACTGCCTACTTCTACAATTTTAACTATGCTGTAAGCATAAAATTCTTATATAGTGGATTCATTTTAAACAATGCAATCGTGTTTTTATGCAACTGGGGAAAGTATTCATTTACTAATCAAAATTAATTGAGTGCCTACTCTGTACAGGGCACGGTTCTGTGTGCTTGAGAAAAACAAGGATGCTGTTCCTTGGATACTTATGTCATCTAAGTGTTAGATTTCCTGTGAAAAATAAAATCAAAGTTTAAGTTTAAAATCTTCTAAGGTTTCTAAAAATGCACCTGTGACCCAAGACCTGAGAAAGTGACTGGAGTAGAAATATTATATCCCAGCACAGAAGTCATATGCCTATTACTAATACTAAATTACTAAAATACTAAATTACTTATAATACTAATACTAAATTATTAAAGGACTTATGGATTTTCATTCTGGATTATCTAAAAACTTACTCATTTATTTATTCATTTGCTCAAAAAAAAAATTACATTACTACTTTGTGACCAAACACTGTGCTAAGCTATTACATAAAATTAAGGTTTTATATACTTTTTATTTGGGGTAATATAAAACAGGATAGAGCAGGCTTTATCTTAATACCAGTATATATGTGCTTTTTTCATATAAAAGTAATAAATGCTGGGTTTGAGTACCAAGACTTCGCTCAAGAAATATAACTGAAGCTATACAAGGAAAACCCAAGTGCATCCTATATTTAGTGTCTTCCCTCCTCAGAAAAACACAGGTTATTATTAGATTTCCAGAGCTCCAGGGCGTCAACCAATTGTAAATGCTAAGACTTAGGTCAAGATTTCATGAAATGCATGGATTCAGAGTTATCTTTCCAGAATCTACAAATACATCAAAGATACATACATATCACTGATTCATGCCAGGCCTATACAACATTTCTGAAAGGTTTTTCCAGAGTATATTTTGCATTTGTTAAATCCCTTTAAAAATCAATCAGTCACAACTGTCCCCTTGTCCCATGGAGCAGCTGCTGGCCAAACCCATCCCAAATTTGGGTGACTGGGAGGGAGGTGCCAAGGGTCCCCAGGCATCTATTTGTAGGAGTGATTTGAATCAGGGGAAAAGATCCTGCAGGAAGCTTTGAGTTCCAATATCTAAAGATCAAGCTGTAAGTGCAGGACATGAAGTCCAGTTCCCAGCCTGGGTCAAACCAGGCTTGATCCCCATGGAGAAAGGAGGAGTTCTCATTTGCACATGGACTATAACGAGGCTCCTGCTCTGTGAGGAAGACTGAAAAAAAATGCCAAGACTTCGCTCTAAAAATGGATATGCCTTGCCCGGCAATGACCATTGACAGCGGGCTCCCTGCTCAGTGGGGTGTCTGCTTCTCCCTCTCCCTCTGCCCCTCCCCACAAGCAGGTACTTATTATTTACAAGTAATAAACACTGGAGTTGAGTACAAAGACTTCACTCAAGAAACATAAATATTTCTCTCTCAAATAAATAAAATCTTTTAAAAAAATAAAAATGAATATCCCTTCACTCGCTTCTACTGGCTGGCTCACTGGTACTCAGCGGGCTGCACCAGTCTCTTTCTTCACTTGTGGTGCCTATCCAGTTTAAACCTCACCGCAATCTGACTTTATTTTCACAATTCCTGCCACTCACCTAAGAACTTAGCAACACTTATAATCTGGTACAGACTTTCTGGCCAAATATCACTTCATATAGTCATATAATGCTGGCTGCAATGTCCAGTTCTATTGGTCTCAGCCTACTGATAGTGATGTTATTGACCTGAATGCCTAAGGCCCTCGCCTGAGCCCTACTACTCATGGCAGCCCCCCCAGATGTTCCCCCTACCGAAACAAGTGGGGGAATGACCCTTGTGGTTCTTACTGTGATTGTAGGTTGCACTTCAGCAACAACCATCAGGAAACTTTGAAGGACAGGACTTACTACTCACAAGGCCTGGAAGGTCCACAGCATGCCCCAAGGGCCATGTGGCAAGGGAGAGAGACAGAGAGAAAGCACCAACCTGGGGTTCTGCCTTTATTAGAGTTGAAGGTAGAGTACCTACAGTTTCTTGGGTTCACTCTTTATGAGTGAATTTAAGACATAAGAGCTGGAATTAGGGCACAGGAAGGGAAAAGTGAGGTCATTCCAGCAGTTAGTTATCTACGTTAACCAGACAGAGCTTTCTAAAAGGGAATCTTCTGAGGTGGAGTGGCCTATTTTTTCTCTAGTTGTTTTGCTAGTAGCTGTGTTATACAGCTGGCAATTCATTTATTTGAGAGGGATGTCTTTGAAATGGATGCACTGGCAATCAAAAGCTTAATGTCAGGGACTTACACTGTAAGACAGAGGGGAAAACAAAGTCAAAGAGTAGTACAATGGAGTACACACAGCCAGAAGTGGGGCTGAGAACCATCCCTAGACCTTGTAATTTCACCAACAGTATTCTTTACACAATTCTGCGACAGTCATACAGCACAGCTCTTCCTGAAGGAGGCCTGAGAAAGCAAAGTGGTACAGATTCTGGAGCCAGGTTGCTAGAGTTAGAACCCCAACTTGCACATTTATAAGTTGTACAACTATGAACAAGATCCCTAACCTCCTCAAGCCTCAGTATTTTCACCAGTTAAAATAGTAACAATGGTTCAGTTTAAGTAGGATAAGCCAATGTGTTAAAGCAGCTAAACAAGAAGGCCGTTAGACCAGAGTGGTTCTTTTTTTTTTTTTTTTAAGATTTTATTTATTTATTTGAGAGAGAGAGAGAATGAGAGATAGAGAGCATGAGAGGGAAGAGGGTCAGAGGGAGAAGCAGGCTCCCAAGGAGCAGGGAGTCCGATGTGGGACTCGATCCCGGGACTCCAGGATCATGACCTGAGCCGAAGGCAGTCGCTTAACCAACTGAGCCACCCAGGCGCCCCGAGACCAGAGTGGTTCTAACGCCTTGATAGCCTACATAAGCAAACCGAAACCAAAGCCAGAATCAATGCACTCCAACCCGAGAAAATTAAACTTAAGAACAACTAACCACAGCTAACTAAGCTCTCTCAAATAAGGCAGCTGTCTAAACTACAGCCGATCAAATAATTTCCTTGCTTTGCTTCCACATCTTCTAGATAAAAACCTTTCCCCTAGCTCTTGCTGATGAGGTGTTCCCAACCATTTTCAATTTGGTGTTGCCCAATTCGAGTCAATGTTTGCTCAAACTCTTCAAATTTTTGATGTATCTGATTTTATCTTTAAACACATGTAAAGCACATAACATATTGCCTGGACATAGTAAATGCAAAAAAAAAAAGGGAGCAAAATAATTTTTAAACTATTAATTAGCATTTCCTTAAAGTAATGTAATAACGCTAACTATATGAAAATGAGTATCTACTACATACATGTGTGTGTTCAAGTATGTGTATCCATATACATATATACTATATTTTATATAAATATACACATATTGCACACCTACAATAAACTCAATTGTTAAGTTTCCCCAGTGTTACACAGATTTACTTCCATTTTTCTTACTAGAATAACCTGTTTACACAGAGGAAGTATGTGTTTTGTCCTGTGCATAAGTAAAATACAATTCCTCACAGCAATTTGGACGAAATATTTTATGCGGGCTTATAGCTGATGGAATGCTTATCATGATCCCCCAACAATGGTCTTAACAACATTGATTATATCAAACATAGTGGTCTCAGCACATTTCCTAGTAATGTCTTTGTTATCCTCATAATGCCTTTGTTGTTCTTAGAACCGATTCAAGGGAAATTAACAACATAACCTGCATGGAAAAATATTTTAAATGACAAAAGTAAAAGTAAAAAAAAAAAAAGTAAGTCATATTGGATGTCATATCATGACTGACTGCCTCTCCATTGTTGAAGGAAGCAGTTTTGAGAACCAAGTGACAAAAATTAGAATGAAATTAATTCTAAATTTCTAAACCCAGTTTATAGGGATAGAGAAAAGCAAAACTGGTTGATTGATCTGTAATATTATCAAAGGAATTAAGAAGTGCCAAGGAACTTTGCGTATCCCGCAGTTTGACTTATCATCTATTCTTGTCTATGTTCATACTGAATATATATGAGTATGTATTTGTATTCACTGAACAAATACAAATACATATTTGGTCCCCATCCAAGAACATCATCAAATCCAAGCTAATTTCCAAAGACTGTTGGGTAAACCTTAGATGAAAGGAAAAGATAGCTCTCTTCTCTCAAAATCAATCAATCAGGGTAGCAAGTTACAATAGGGAGTCATCTCATCAGAACTGACTCTCATTTCTACTAATTCCATAATCTTGACATTGAAAACCCATTCAAGTGAGTTCTTCTACAGCACATAAAATGCTTAGTATTGTCAGATTACTCTCTGCTCACAAACAGGTAAAGCAGAAAAGAACAATCCTAATGTCAGAAACTAAACAGCTTTATTACTTACAACTAAAACTCATATCCTCAGTGATATAATGACCAATACAAAATGTAAAGCCATTAGAACATCCTGGACATATTTTTTTTCTTTTAATTGAGAGGGCTGCACAGTAACAATGTATAAGGAAGCTAGCTATGAGACTAATAATAAAGTTATTGAGTTTATAACTGATTTTTGAACAATAAATGATCATAAAAAAATCTCGGTGGCTTTATGATATAACTGTAATTTGGCTCTGGCAAAAAAAATAAAAAATAAAAAAAGGTGTTGGTGTCATTTAGGCAATTTCTTTATAAAAGAAAAATCAGTCTCTATTCCCGAATGTTTTACTATTATTTATGTTTTACTAAATATTTACATCACAAGCTTGAATTTTAATTTTCCCAAAATACCAATCAAAATTTTCCTGGAACAAACGAGACTTCATAACTTTCAGTAGCTGCAGGACTGTCTGCTCTCCAGGTACTTTACTGCCTCAGTAAGTCTTGAGTGTTGCGTAACAGGAGTACCCGTACTTCTCAGTTAAATTAAGATCACAGTTTTTGCTTGAGGTTCCCCCCCGCGACTTCCTCATCTACCACATCAGACCCTTCAGAATCTTACAGTTGCTACCTCCACTTCTTTACACATCTTTTCACACACACTGTTTTAACAACTCTCCCCATCAAATAGAAAACTGACACCAGGTATAAACTGAAACGTAAACTCACCTCAGCAGGTGGATGAGAAAGTCATTCTGGTGTCTTGCCAAATAGCTTCTTCATTTATTTCTTTCTTCGGCTTCTAACTTTTTAAAAAAAAACAAAAACAAAAAAGGTGGAGGGTAGTCACTGACTCAACTGCCTTTTTCAATATTTACACCTCCTAAAATGCATTTGCGCTACAATTTTCCTCTGAGGACAGAGGTGAGGGACTGACTTTTCATCAGTGATCCTGAGTCGCTCTGCAGCGAATGCACCAGAAGGGCCAATATCAGAAATAGATGTTTAGAGAAGCCATTTCTCCAGACACCGAGCCGTAGTTCCCGCGAGTCTGACCACGTGGTCCTCAAAGCCCTAGTGAGTCTGCGCACACGGCCTTCCCCGCCCCCGCCACGTACCAGGAGTGGGTGCGCAGGCGCACGAGGGCAGCGCCTTCGCCGCTGCCGTTGGAGGCCCGCGTGGCCTGAGGAGCCTGAGGGCCTGCTGGGTCCTGGGCTCCTTGCTGCTTCAGTGATGCTTGCCCGGCAGCGTCTGGGAACCTGGCCCTGAGGGCGCTGCCCACTGACATCTGCCTCTTGATCTGGGCCTGGGCACTGGCGGGAGGCCCCGGACCGGGTGCTGGAGGAGCGCTCCTCGGCAAGGGGACCGGCCCGCGCCGGGACTCCGCTCCCTCAGCCTGGGCCTGGACCCAAGAGGGCGAAACTCGATCCTTAGGACCTTGAACAAGTAAAATGAAGGGTAATGATGTCGCTTTGCTTACAGTATTTCTTAAGTGTTAAAAGCTGAAAAAGGGGCGCGGAGATAGAATTCGGTGTCCCCCACCTTCCCTCTCCTGCCCGGTCCATCCTTGTGCAGTCGCTGGAACTCACCCACCGCCTGTGCGCCCAGCCCCGTCCGCTTCATGGAGGGTGAGCCCCTCGGTCGCAGCCCAGGACTGGCCCTGGACGTGGAGAAGTGAATTCCTCGGCTTCCGGGAGCTCACATTGCCTTGGGAGCCAGTCCTGATCATCCAGAGTTAGACAACACTGTGTTGTAGGAGGGCAAGGAGAGGAGTGCTAACGACTGGGGCAGAGAAGCCTTCCCAAAGAAGGTTGCTGTTGGAGCCATTAGGGCAGAAACCCAGGGAGGGGCTGGACGAGGCCGAGAAAGTGGGCAGGGCTCACGAAGGGCTTTATCGGCCCTGCCAAAGAGTTTGAACTTTATTCTGAAGACAGGAGTCGCATCCCTGCTAAAGATGGAGAAGTGGCTTCCAGACATAAGCTCTCTGTGACTGTTCCAGAATTCCTGTGTCTTTAAGGCAGGGGTAGGGAATGAGGATAGGGTTGGGAATAAGGGCTAGGGGCTTGTTCTGCAGCTGCTTTTTGGATTAGTGATGAGATCACCAGAAAATAAAAAGAAATTAATTTTTATTTTTTATCTTTTTTTTTTACGAAAATGAGATATTAACTGGGTTATGGAGTATTGTAGAATGTTTTTCTAAAAAATTCTAACCATCATTTATTCCAGAAACAATATTGTAGAATTTCTTATTTTCTTCCATCAATTAAGCTGAAGAATTTTAAACACCACATGCAACCTATTTTTTCTTGGTACTTCACCTGGGGTGGTTCTGGTGGGGGCCTGATGGAGACTATAGGGATGCTAAATATTCTCCCCAAGTCACTCATGGTGTTTCCACTAGCAACTGTGAGAATTTTTATACATATAAAAAGGGCTAATTGTTTTTTATTATTTTCCTTTTTTCTCAAAAGTGACAATAGCAATCTAGATATAACTTCCTCATTACTTTATATATGAATTCTGTAATTCTATGTCTTTTATTTAAGCATAACAGAATGATTAATCTTAATCTTGGGTGCCTTTAGGCCTGCCTTTCTTTGGCATTTCTCAAAGGTGCTGTTTAATATATGAAACTTATTCTTTATACTTAAGTTGTTAACATACTGTTTTCTCTACTGTCAATAGCTCTTGTATTCTTACCTAGCTTTTTTCTGTCTCTGTACTTTATAGAATTAAGAGATATCAATTTTAGAAACCAAAAATCAATTTTAGAAACCAAAGACGCATTAAAATAATCAAATCATGAGATTTTAAGGGTATAGGGAATGAGCGGTCATTTATTCAAACCCTCCTTTCGAAAGGACCAAGATTCAGGGTTTAATATCATCCATTAGATGATCACCTGGCTAAGTGGCATGATTCATGTTACTGACCTAAGTAAGACCTGTTAGAAGATGTAGAACAATGTAATGTCACATCCACAAAGGATATAGTTATTAGCCAGGTTTTCTGAACACCAGAAATGCAGGAATAACGGGGTGGGGGGCGATAACAACAAAAGAACCCCTAGGAGAAGACTTTAGGATTGTGGAAGCAACTTGGTAAGTTGTCTGATGGCAGAAAAAGTTCTTTCACATAAAGAAGAACTAGATAGCAAGTATGTGACAGAAAAAAAAAAATCATGAGCCCATGATGAATTTAAGTACAAGAACTTGGTTTTGAAATGCAAATATGGCATTATGAATTGCATTGAACTGATTATGAATTGCAAATAAGTTGTTAAAAGCTTTACTGAAAATTCTCTAACACTGTTCCCTAAGTGTTCGTACTTTATCATCCAGAGTCACTGTTTACAACTCAGAGAGAATAACTGTAATATGCCTCTACTTTTTAGCCTTAGAGAGAGGGTTTTCACTTATGGAGGCCATTATTCAGAATAGGTAGATGCAAGCTGATGCCTTTACAAAATTAAGCACAGAAAGAAGAAAGCAATTGCTTCAGAGTTTGGGGAGGTGGTTGTAAAACAGTAGGGAAACAATCAAACTTAAGTATTTTCTTTTGAGCACAGTGTGTATACGTGTTTTGTATTGTTTTGTAGAAGTTTGCTAATAAAAATATCAGCAAAGATTAGAAGCATAATCATCTAGAGGAAATGCTGGTAGTATGGCTCCATGTATGTGTTCAAAAATCTCTACAGCAGATAGTCTTGTTTTAGGGGTAAGTAAGACTTCACTTTGACTAAATTCAGGAATATTTCAATTTACTAAGGATTATTCTTGAATCTGGAGAGGGGCATATTTGGTTAAGTCAAAAATGGGTTTAAAAAAATTTTTTTGAGTATAGTTGACACACAATGTTACATCAGTTTCAGGTGTACAACATAGTGATTTATACATTATGCTGTGCTCACCACAAACATAGCTACCCTCTGTCACCATACAGTGCTATAACAAGATCACTGACTATATTCCTTTTGCTGTACCTTTTATTTCTATGACTTATTCATTCCATAACTGGAATCTCCCTGTATCTCCCACTCCCCTTCACCCAAAAAATGTTTTTTTTAAATACTGATTGTCTTCTACAAATTTTAACTGATCTCATGTCTCTTCATACACAAATATGTGCTCAGATAATAAGCATACTGACTAAACCAACATACATAGGGTAGTAGATAAATACCAAAAAGGAATAAAAGAAAAAGAAGTATTTTTTTTAAACTGGGAGAGGGATCTCTTGCTGATCTCTTTCAATTACTGTATTGATGTCTGTGTAATTTAATGATTATTAATTTGTCTCTTCAATTATAAACAGAGAGCTTAGCTATCTCTTAATAAACACCAAAGAATTATGAAGATCATGCTCTTTCACATTTGAAAGAGAAAGAACTTTTCCACCAGATGTGAACTTTTCCTTTGAACTTGGCCGCTGTGTAGATTGTCTCCCATCTGACTGTTCAGCAGAGGTTCTTAATCTCTTTGGAGTCACAGACCCCTTCAGACATAGGAAGAAAGCTCTGGATCTTCTCCCCAGCTTCATGTATATATTGTAATCCTTTGCACTCATATTTCTGTGTGTGGAGAAGAGGCCTATGACCTCCTGAAATGCCATTCATTGGATGTAGGTTAAGAACAATTTTTAAATGAGAAAACCCATCTTGTTCTTCTCCACACACTAGCAGCCTTGCTTTCTTATAGAGTTCTTTTCAAGCTTTCTTTACTTGGATATTTCATAGTATTATATAGGACAACCGCCAGTTATAAAGGGAGACACTATTTTTCAAGCTCACTTAAGAGTTGGGAAAGTCATGTGGGATTAGTGTCCATTCTGATGTGCTTGTTCAAGAGATGTTTACTGGATTCCCACTTTTAGAGGCTGGTGACAACAGTGAGATCACTTTACAAAAGTCCAGGCTCTCAAGGATTTTGCTATCTAGTAGAAGATTTTCTCCTAGTCAAATCCAAAGAATCTCTGAAGATAATGCCTTTCTTCCAAATTTGATGCGGAGGAAATCTAAAATTCTAAATCTATAAAAGTGCATAAGATTGTTACTGAAAAAGTCATCTTTCTATAATGGAGTATTCTCTAAAATGTATCTTTAATATTAGCTGATTGCATTTATGTGTTTTTAGACTACTTTACAAAGAGCTGGAACTATTAAAGTTAAAGCATTAAATAGCTTCCTATTAAAGTTTATGTTAAGTAAAAATAGTGTATCCTCTGAAATTTTTACTTTTTTTTTTTTATTATTAAGTAGGCTCCACACCCAACATGGGGCTTGAACTCATGACCCTGAGATCAAGCATCACATGCTTTACCGACTGAGCCAGCCAGGTGCCCCAATCCTCTAAAATTTTTAAACAGTAATTAAAAATTTGATTCAGTATATGAAATATTAGTCCACATATAAATTGAGAAATAAATTTACTGGCACATATTTACTTGGATTGTAATTATCTTCTTACAAATTAAAGTTGGGTAATAATTCACCCCTCCACCAGCTCATCCCCTATCCAATAGGAAGACCTTGTACAAGCAAGCCTACACTGGATATTCTTTGTATCTCTGTGTTGGACTGTACCTCACAACAGCATGCTTGTGATAAAGATACATACCAAATATACCTTGAAGGCAAAGGTAAACCTTCAAAAAGATGCAAAAAGTGGTTCAACCTTAATAATTACTAATATACAAGAATATATTGGATATAAGGTTTCCTGCATCCAAATAGATTAGTAACCATATTTTCCCCCAAATAGCTTCAGTGTTCTCCTCTCATGCCATTACTTGATAGGTAGGGAGGATAGCCAGTAGTAAGGGTCAGATTGTCAACTATTTTATGGGAGAATTGACTAGAATTATCATTGAACAGTCTGATGCTCCAAGAATGGTTGACTCCTATTTGGTAAACCTCAGTACTTCCTGGTTAGGGCTTTCCTTTGGGGCTAACCAGTCCAGAAAATACATGGTAAGTGCATTGCTATTTAACTTTTATCTTTCACAAAAGTATTGAATATTTCTTAGAGTTAACACTTACTGGAATAATGTTATAAATTACATGGTTTTGGTACTAATATCATTTTCTTCTCACAGGCTCTCCAGATTATGATTGGCATATTTCATGTTTTCATGTGGTATTTCCTATTGATTTTGTATATGGGACAAATTAGAGGAGTCTTTGGGACGTATGAACCTATAACTTACAAAACAGGATGTGCTTTATGGGGAATTATTGTGAGTAGAATATATTTATATGATTTAATCATTCAATAAATACTATTCATGCCACTAGTGGAACATAGGGAACAGTTTTTAAACAGAGATTTCAGGAGAATTATGTAAGTAAATCCCATGTTGGTAATTTATTCAAAATCAAATTCTTTCTTTCAACACATGTTTTTTTAGTACCTTTAACTTACCAGTGCTGTTATAAGAGATGTGGATACAGGAGGGAATACACAATGACAACCTTAGGTTGGATTGTCTTTAGATATGTGAAAGACAAAGAATCTTAACCATAATATCCATTAGCATGGTTAATTTTCGTATTTAGGGTCCTTATCTTCTTCACACAATGAGTCTACTCACACATTTTCTAAATTTGTCATTACCTGCATTCTTCTGTGGTTTCTAGATAGCCATAAGTTAGTAGGAAAATTTGAAAAGTATGGCATCCTCAAAGCTGAGTGAACAAATAGGGAAAGATAAACTATATTAAATTCTGTTATTTTGCCAAATAAGGCTGAGAATTGACCACTGGAGTTAGCAATAAACTTGACAAGTAGTTTCAGTGGTATGGTGAAGCAAAACCTGACGGGAGTTGGTTTAAGAAATAATGGGAGGAGAAGACTATAGAGACAGCAAATAAAACTCCTTTAAGGACTCTGGTGTAATGTGGCATTGAGAAATGAAGTAGTAGTGGGAGGAAGTTTGGATCAAGACAAGGTTTGCTTATTTGTTTCAGTAAGTTGGAAGTATCATGTCTTTTACTGAGGGGACTGAACCAGAAGAGGGAAAATCAATATGAAATAAATGGAGGGAAGGAGGGATTATTAGAATCCTGTACTGGGATAGGCAAGAGGTGATGAATTTTAATACACAAATACTTAGGTTCATGGACAGTTCATCTCTAGCAGTGGATCTCAATTAGAGGTGGTTTTGCCCCTCAGAGGACATTTGGTGATGTCCGGAGATATTTTTGGTTTTCACAGCTGGGGTAGGCATCTAGTAGGCCGAAGCCAAGGATATGGCTAAATACCCTACAAAGTATAGGATAGCCCTCATAAGAAAGAATTATCCATCTTTAATGTAAATAGTGCCAAGGTGGGTAACAGGATGGAAAGGCGGAGAAACAAAGAAAGGACAAATTTTGATAGGTAGGTAGATGGGATATTGGGAGCTTGTGGAACTTTTCTTCTGATGGCTTCAAATATCTCAGTGAATTAAGAAGCCAGATCATGAGCTGAGAAGGAGAATGGGATAATGAATTGGTTGTTTGAAGAGAGGATATGAAATAGTCACCTAGAAAAAGAGAGTGTATGCATTGTGGAAAAGTAGTTAGACTTTCACTAAGATAAAGAGCTCACTTAAGCTTTAGGAACAGAATGTGTGTAGTGAGATATGGGTCAAGAGGGTTGTGTGTCTTTCTCAAGTCCTGTTTGGCTGCATGGGTTCAGGCATTCAGTGAGAAGGAGAACTGCATTTAATCAGGATTTGGGTTTAACCATGCATCTGTGATCAAATAAGAACAGTGCAAACGAGTTGAAAGTGTATATAAGTGAGTGTAATAGTTAACCATGAAATTTAAGCTGGTGAAGTAGAGAATATAACAGAGAGGTGAGGGGCTTGATTATAGATGCAGATGGGTTCAAAGAATCGTTAAAGTTGTGATACTACAGGACATGATGGAGAAAGATAGAAGCTGGTGGTCATAGTGGGATACTTGGAAATGAGATTTGAAAGATGTCATCCTTATTGGCAGAAACAAGCACAAGAGAATGAATATGGGAGTGAGTGACTGAGCTAGGATGGGGTCAGAGGATTAGAGAAGAGAAGTTCAAAGAAACATAAGACCCAGGTATTAGAAGGATTTTATATATATATATAAAATGTATCTTTATATATATATATATCACACCAAGGTTTAAGAGGTGTTAGAGAGAGAGTGAGACAGAAATTAAAATCACCAAGACTAGAGTGACCAAGTCATCAGTTGATGACTTCAGCCAGGCTGGATAGTGGTGATAGAATCTGATGATGTTTGATTCAAAGCTGGAGGAGAGGGAAGTTATAAGGGCTGGAAGAGAAAATGGCCACCACTTGAGAGGGCTACAGAGAAAGCAGTGGCCCCTAGGAGATCCTCTGCCTTTATACATTGGCTCACAATTGTCAGAGCATTGCTTTAGAAAACAATAGTGGATTTGCAGACAAAATCCAGATGATTCGTGACCTTCAGTGTTTAATTGTACATGTTATAAAAATAGCATGTGTAGCTCCTAGAATAAATTATCTAAAATTTCAGTTAAATTTAATCCAGTGCAAAACTCTCATAACCTTGAAAGGCATTTTGTGAAGCGCGTGGTTTGGTAATCTAGCTACAGCACACTCCAGTTTATAATTCAACTTTATGTTCTTCTGTTCACTGTGTACCTCCTCAGAAATCTCAGCTTTTATTACAGAATGAAGTGCTGTGTGTGTAAATTTAAGTTATCCTGGAGGAGTTAGTAAGCTTTAAGGTTTGGCCTTCCTATAAATGGTATAGCATGAGTGCTGTTTTTCCACAGATTATCATTTGACTTAGATCTTTGTAAAATCCACTAAAACAGATAAGACAAAAGGAATGTTCCAAGGGAAGTATGCAGCTCACCTTCAAACAGTATGACATAACTTTACACTTCTGGGAAATAGACAAAGTAATCTGGTGTGAAATAATGGAAACTCTTTTTAAAAAAGGCAAAAACATGAATTACAGTTGTTACTTTAATAATGGCCACAGTCTCAAGAGATATATTTTGTACAAACACAATTTGGAATAGACTCATGAACCACTTTTTTCACATTTGGATATGTATACAATAATTGCAATCAATGGCTTTATTTTATTAGGAAGGATAGCATTTGAAATGATAATCAAATGAGTTCAAAAGGCATGCACAGATATAAGCAAACTTGGCCCCTGATTCAGGACTCTTTAAGTCATCTTTGGTATATACCACAACCTGAATTCTGCCCACTGTCCCCTATGTTTCTGTGATTAGTGACCCAGCTATTAGCTTTTAGTTCATGACTATATGATGGAAACTTGTCCTGACCCCTTCTACTGAAACTTCTTTATATTTTGTTATTCTTGGTATTCTAAAAATAACTGACCTGGAAGAGGGAGTTGTTAAAAATACATCTTAAGTTTATGAGCATTATCAATGAGTATTTATAAATATGTTTTTATATCCAGTTTATCATTGCAGGAGGCTCCATAATAAGAGCAGTAAGGCATCCAACTCAAGGCATGGTAAGTGGAGAGCATTGCTTTAGAAAACAATAGTGAATTTGTCACACTTGTCACAAAGCTAAGTAGGTTTTAGTGAGTACCTAAGCAATGAAGGAATCTACCCTACTTGTAAAATAATTAAATGACAATCTAGGAGCACATAACTTACTGTAGACAAACTTTCTATATTAATTAGAATCATTATGTAAAAGTTCTAAATTTAAATATAGGGGTTTTTTTTTTGTTTGGTATTCTACCTTATTTTAACATTGTATGAACTTTACTAGTGAAAAAATTTAATAGGACCTAATAATGCCTTTATATATAGATAAAATATTACTGTAAAACTTCATTGTCCTAACTACCTAGTTTGGGAACAGGATTATATCTTGTAATAAGATAGAGGATCTGTCCAGAAGATCCATCTATGGTATAGATAAGATGTTGGAAAGAAAAAAATCTTAGACTCCTAGAGCTAAGAAATCAATGTGTCTGATCTCACAATTGTACAGATAAAAACATATCCAAAGATATTGATAGATTTCCCTAGAGAATGAAAATCCTGGATTAAAAATCACTGAATCTTGTTTGGCTTATTTCTACAAGCAGTCATTTTCCATCTTTTTTTGTTTCATTTTCCATTTTATAGTGGATCTCCTTTTGTTCAAATCCTATCTTAACAATCTTTCTTTCAAATGACTCAGAATATTGTAAAATACATTTTTTAGCTCAAATGGAAGACTGATGCTTACTGATGTGATATTTCACTGTTCCCTCCAGATTAACTGGGTTTCATGTAAACCAGGAAGATATTTTATCGTAATGGCAAGCATTCCAGCACCTCTAAAGCTTCAGAAACTAGATCAGAGTTTTGACAAAATGATTTTTTTTCAGCAATACAAACTGTTTAACCTAAGTGTTTATTCAGAATATAACAGGTTTACCATGTATCTTCTTTTCAGATTACATTTGCTTTGATGATGAACATCTTCTGCATGATTGTTGCAGTTATTGCATCAATTCTAACAACAATTGAGTTGTCTTCTTTTAATTCCGTGTCATACAGGAATTATGGACAAGCAGTAAGTGACCATTCAAACAATTCTCTTCCAAGGTTTTAAAGCCTTTGGAGGTAAAATAAGACTTTTATTAGTCTTCAAGAAATTCTTTGGTTTAAGTAGTAACCTCTTGATTGAAAGTTTCAATTCAAAAATAATTCTAACATGATTTTTTGGTAAATATTAATAGAATGTTTGAATTCCTGACATGCCCAATTAAAATAAAGCAAGTAGATAATGTGAAAGCTTCAGTGATAAATGTATATGCATTAGGCATGGGGTCACTGATGATTCTCTTAATGAAAGAAATGTATAATCCTAGACCCTAAAACCATTCCCAAAATCAACAAAAGAATTCTGCTACTGATGCATATATTTGGAAATGTAGACACCTGGTAATTTCTGGTTTAACACAGAGCTTTTCATACACAGCCTATTTTTTTTAAGATTTATTTATTTATTTTAGAAAGAGAGAGAGCGCAAGTGGGGGGAGAGGCAGAGGGAGAGGGAGAGAGAATGTCCTCAAGCAGACTCCCCACTGATCCTGGAGCCCAATGTGGGGCTCCATCACAAGACCCTAAGATCATGACCTGAACCAAAATCAAGAGTTGGATGCTCAACCAACTGAGCCACCCAGGCGCCCCCATACACAGCTTATTTTTCTGTCTCACATGAATTTTGTTTTGTGTTCAAATGCTACATGTGCGTGAATCTGTCTTGTTTCCATTTAATTGAATATCCAGTCACATACTTTGTACCAGAGAAGTAACTGTATTTCTTCTTAAGATAGTAACATTCTCCAGTAAATGTGAATATCTTTCCTGATATCACAACTGATTTATTTCAATTGTGTTGGCTTTAAATTCAGAATTACAGAATATTAGTGCTGCAAAGGACATTCAAATGAGAATACATTAGAGTAGAGCTCCTCTTTATTATTGAACAACAAAACAAAAAATAGCAACTTGAAAGTTTTAATTCAAAAATAATTCTAATGAGAAGACTCATTGTAGATGAGGCATAATCCTCCTGCTCCCCCTACCTCAACTTTCCTCTCTCTATACCTGCACTATATTGTGAAGGGGCCATCAGTCGAAGGAATCCAAGCATGAAGAATAAAAGCCTAGAGGACAATGGAAGGTTGAGAGAAGATGTAATAGTACCCCAAAATGGATTGTGTGTAATGAATGATGGATTGATTTAAATAAGTATACATCAGATTTTCCCTGTACATTGTAAGAAAATTCTCCATTTTCCCTGGAAATTCATTCTGGCAATCTTCAGTTCTAATTTTGGTGGCAGAGATAAGGAAGAAGAATTAGGTTATTAAGTGGAGGATTGGACCAAATTATGTTGAGCTGACCACTCTTATTCAGAAGCTTATAATCATCAGTTTAAGATAATAATGGCATAATTTCCAGGACTCTCCTTTTGCAAACAGTATTACAAACCACTGTAGACTGTATTTATCTGAACTCAGTATTAATGATCAATTTCACAGTCTCCCAAATGCACAAGTTTCAGTTTTGTTTGCGGTGATTAATTACATGAATGAACTTATATATTAGACCTACATTTCTAACCCACAATCTTCTCTTAGAGGGATTATAGAATCCTGTTCTACATTTACTAAGGCAGCCAACATTTTACAAGATTTTCCAAATGCCAGCTTTTCTAACATAAGCAAGCTGCTTGGCTAAACCCATAAACTCATCAAGTTATCAGTGTTCCCAGGTAGGTTCAGCTATCCCAAAAAGTGCATGCCTCTGAAACACACTTCTCTTATAGCAAAATGGTTGATATTCTAAATCCAGAACCAGGCTGACTTTATTCAAACACTGTCTTCAGTACTCACTGTATGTGACCCTGAGGACACGTTTCTTAACTTCCCTGTTCCTGAGTTTCTTTATGTGTCAGTAGAGAAAGTACCAACACATACCTGTTAAACTGTTTGTCTCCCAGACTCCAGGCCTCTTATTCTAATGGCCAGCTTGATGTTTCCACTTTGATATGCTTCTGTTGTCACCATCTCAACTTCAACAGATATAAAATGGAAAAAGTTTGCCTCCTCAAAAGTACTGTGCTGCAAGACTCCCTTATTTCAGCCTCTAAAGCTGAAAACCTTGATGTCATCCTTCACCCTTCTCTCCACTGTCTTCCCGATTACCAATTATTGCTTATTATTCACTTTAATTTTTATTGACTAGGACTCTCTTAGTTGTAAGTGACGGGAAATACAACCCAAATTGACTTAAGCAAGAAAAGGGCACTTACTGACTTACACTGGACTCAAAGGCTTAAAATCGCCTGTCAAGAACTCAGTCACTCTCTCCGCTGTTTGCCTCTTTGAACTTCTCTGGCAGATACCTTGCTATTTTCAGGGGCAGAATTTGAGAATAACACTGACACATACAAGTTAAGGAATGTGGACAAAATGACTTTTTACTATCTTGGCAACAAAGAGGTCACCAGTACTTCTCAGCTAAAATGCTACAATTGTGTTTCTGCCAACAAAATTAAATCAGAATTCTGATAAGGTAACTTGATATTTCACACCCTCTATAGCCTTTTCTTTATCCTCCTGTTACTATCATATACTCCCTATACCTGAGTGAAACTCGCTTTATCATTTTCTTAAAACATGTTCATTCTTGCATTCATTTTTTTCCTCACATTATCAAATCATAGGTCATGTGATATATATTTTAACTTTATTATTGTTTCTATTTTATGTCTCCATTTCTTAATTATTTTGTCACACTTTTAATTTATGCTATTACATTTTTTTCTGGAGCAAGATAAGTTACAAAAAAACTAGTAAATGAAAATTTAAAGCTGCTTAGAATGTTGCTTCCCTCCATTTTTCTCAGTCTTACTCTTGCTTACAATGTCTTACCTCTTTATGAAGCCTTCCTGGATATGAATGGCTTAGGGCAAACCTCCTGTCCCCTCAAACTCCTGAGCAAGTTTTTATCCATTCTGACGTATGTAACCGAATTATATGTTACCTTATATTATCTTTCTGTCTTTTCTACTTGAATATAAACCTTGAGAAAGCAGGAATTTTTTGCCATTTCATTCTTACTGTCTACTCCCTACCACCTAATAGTTTCTTGCGTAAAAGATACTAAATAAACCCAAAAACAGAGAGGGAGGAAGAGAAAGAATTGAAGGAGAGAGATTGTAATGTTATTCTTTCCAGGTCTGAATATCATTCTTTTCTTTCTATAGCCAGCACAAAAACTACATTCATTTTTAGGATTAGGACCAATATCGTTCATCCTGATATGTAGTTGAAAATATCTTTCTGATCACAACAGAAGGGATCTGCTTTATTATCCCATCAAAATCATAATCACTGTATACTTCCAAGTGAGATGTTGTTTGAGGATTTACTCATCCTTCCACATCATGTTACAGCAATTTCCATGTGAGATTTTTATCACCACACATACAAATTTAAGTAAGTTTGTAATTAGTAACAGTTGTTTCAATACATGAGAATTGCTTGATAAAATCCCTTAGTAGCTATCTTATCACTGGAGATAGAGTCAAATCTTATTGACTGAAGAGCTTGGATAGATGCTGGGAATGGCCAGCAATCCCTGTACCAACAGATGAACGATGACTCCACACTTTGCTGTAAAAGAGAGGAGAAGGCAAGGGGGTCAGTGCTCAGAGACGACCCTTTGCCCTTCTATTCTCCCACCTTTATTGGTCCTTCAGGTTAATCATAAATCTTTATCACTTTATCACTGTTTCTCAAGCATGTGATGTGTGACAAGGGGTCTTACTGCAACTAGGAGGATCTGTTTATGGGAATGATATGATCTGCTTGTTCTACAAGTTCTGCTAAACATAGCCTAGGGGACAGTGCATACACCTCTTAGATCACAGGGCAGCTGTTTGAGCTAAGAAGGCTTCGGGGAAGGCAACTCCCCACGGCATTCCTATGGCAGAGTGGTCACGCAGGCCTCAGCATTCCAAAGGCCTATGCCCTTCTCTGAAACCTTCCCTCACCCCCAGCGGCCTCTGTGTTACCTTTTAGCAAGCCAGGTATTATGGATGATTTCATGCTCTACATTAACCCCAACAGATAGAGACTCTGTCATGAAGAGAATAATGAGAATGAAGAGTTGTAAGAAGTGAGACAAGGATGCTGAGTGATGAAGACCACCAGTGGAAGCTGAAGATAATGAGCTGGGGAAATTAAGGGTGGGAAAAGTGGAGTGGAAGGCAAAGTAGTAGAGATGACTAGGGAAGTTGAATGGTGAAAGCAGCTTATTTATTTTTCCTGTTTTCCTTGACTCTCATAGTAGGAGCTCCTTTTGTGAACATATTTAAAGATAATAATGCAAGATTTCTCCCTATTTTCTGGTTTCAGAAACTTGGAAGAGAAGTTTCACGGGTTTTACTGATATCTTACCCCTTGGAATTTTCTATTGCATTAACATACTCAATCTTTGGCTGTATTGGTTTGGTAAGTGTTTATCTACTCTGGCAAATCAAGAGATGCTGATTTCTAGCACATACAGTCTATAAGAAGATAACACAGTATGTTAGAACTCGTGAAAATGGAATATGTCACAATATTTCCTTTAAAATTTTCCCTTGTTTTTATTGTTCATAAAGTTATGTAAGTAATACATGAAACTATAAAGTAAAATTATAGAGTAAAAAGTTATTGTCCTCTTACTGTAGTCCTCATCATACCCACCCATCCAAATATATAACAAAAAAGACACAAACACACAGACACACTATACACAGTTTTCTTGTTTACTAATTGTGTGATCATATTCATATTGTTTGTCACATGATTTTTCTCAACTATCATAAACATCTTTTCATTATAAAACAAAACAATACCTTTTAGTAGCATCATACTTTTCCTTAGTATTTATTTTGACATTTTTTCTTGCTGCGTCCTTAGTTTTTTTCCAGTTTCTTTTTATTATAAACAATGATCTTTACATGTACGACTAGTATGTGTGTAGGTATTTGATTCCTAGAAGTGTAATGACAAGTTTGATAACATCCCTAAATGCTGTAATAATACACAGTACTACAAAAGTTTATGAGAATGATTATTTTATACAAGCTTTAAAAAAAACTAGATATCAGGGTACCCAGGTAGCTCAGTTGGTTAAGCATCCAACTCTTGATTTCCAATCAGGTCATGATCTCAGGGTCATGAGATCAAAGCCTACGTAGGGCTCTGCACTGGGTGTGGAGCCTGCTTAAGATTCTCTCTCTCTCTTTCTCTGCCCCTCTTCACCCCACTCTTGCATGCTGTGCTCTCTCTTTCTCTTTCAAGAAAAAAAGAAAAAAGAAACTAGATACCTACATTCATTCTTTCACAAATATTTATGGAGGGCCTACTATTTACTAGGCATTATAATAGGCACTAAGGATGCAATGATTAACAAGACAACATCCCTACCATCAGGAAGTTTCCTTTTCAGTGGAGAAGAAAGACAATTAACAAATAAATATATATCTACATCTACACAAATATAGATATATATTTAGGTGTGCATAAATTATAAACAATGATCTTTACATATAAAACTAGTAAGTATTTGGATTGGATTAAAGCCCACCCTAATTAGTTATTATGACTTCATTACTGTTTTAAGGACTTTATCTCCAAATACAGTCACATTCTGAGGCACTGGGAGTTAGGACTTTAACATACGAACTTTAAGGGGACACAGTGCAGCCCTTAACATGGTGTTTAAGCAAAACTGCTGACCAGTCATTGGCTGACTACTTATGCTGACCAGGGGAGAACCCCATTAAACCAGTCTTAAAAACAAAAACATGAATTTAAAAAAATGGAAAGCATAAGTAGATATAGCAAAGGCCACACACTGCAAGGGACACAGACTCCACAAAATTAGTACAGGCAAGTCACAAAAGGCAGTAATAACAACCATTCTGGGGTGAAGATAAGGGAATTAGAATCCAGAGTCACTACACTATATTGTCTAAAATACCCATTTTTCAACAACAAAAATATGACATGCAAAGAATAGGAAATGGTGACATATACACCTGAATAAAAGCAGTCAGTAGCTACAGTTTTTTGGGGGAAGAGAATGACAAATGTTGGGCTTCACAGAGACTTTAAAGAACTAAAGAAAAAATGTTAAAAAAATGAACATGTTAATTAACATTAACATTAAAAATGATGATAATGATTCATCAAATAAGAGTATGAATGTCTATTACCTTGATTGTGGTGATGGTATCATGGTATTTACATATATTTAAATTTGTCTAATCGCACCCATTAAATATGTACAGTTCTTTGTATATCAGTTATACCTCAATAAAGTTATTAATTTTTTTATAAATAATATAAATAAAAGAGATGCTAATTATTAAAAAGAACCAAATGGAAATTCTTTAGTAGAAATACAGTTACCGAAATGAAAAACTCACCAGAGGGGCTGAATAGCAGATTTGTGCTGACAGAAGACAAAATTAGCAAACATGATAGAATGATATAGATCATCCAATCTGAAGAACAACAGGAAATAAAGAGAAGAAAAATTAATAGTGCCTCAGAGATCTTTGGGACACCATCCAGTACACCAACATATGAATAATAAGAATCCCAGAAAATGAGGGAACAGGAAAAATAGTTGAAGAAATAGTGGCCAACGTTTTCCTAAATTTTATGAAAAATATTATTCTGCATATGTAAGAAGCTCAGTAATCTCCAATTAGAATAATCACAAAGAGATTCACTCCTAGACACCTGAGGACCAAACTGAACTAAAAAAGAGAGAAAATCTTAAAAGCAGCAGGAGAAAAATGATTTCCTGTACAATAGAACCACAGTAAGATTAACAGCTGACTTCTCATCAGAAACAATAGAGGCGTGAAGGCAATGAGATGGCACAGCAGAGTGTTGGAGGAAAAGAGTCAAGCATGAATTCTGTATCCTTTAACTAACATTCAAACACAGAAGGCAAATAAAGACACACACAAGTGAGCAGACAGAATGCATGGCTAGGAGAACTGCCTTACAAGAAACACTAAAGGAAGTTCTTTAAAAAGAAGTGATATCAGATGGAACTCAAAAACACATGAAGAAATACAGAGCATCAGTAAAGGTAATTATTGCAGATGACTGTAAAAAAACAATATAAATATACCTTTTGTGCTGCTCTTAACTGATTGAAAAGACGGTTGCATAAATTGCATTGGGCCCACCCAGATAATCCAAAATGATCTCCTTATTTTAAAGTCATGTTATTATCAACCTTAATTCCATCTGTCATAACTACTCAGCTTTACCTTATAGAATGACAGAAGCCATGGACAATATATAAATGAACGGATATGGTTTTGTTCCAGTTAAACTTTCCAAAACAGATAGTGAACCGGATTGGGTCCATATTCCAGAGTTTGCCAACCCCTGTTCTATAGATATATATTGTCTCCTTTTCCCTCTGAAATTTTAAGAGATAAAATTATAAAATTAAAAACATTGCACTGTTGAGCATATAACATGTAGGTGTAATATATAGGACAATAATAGCGTAGAGGAAGGTGGAAGGAATAGAGCTACATGAGAATGAAGTTTCTGTATTTTACTGGAATTAAAGTAGCATGCACCTGAAGCAGTTTGTGATAAATTAAGATGCACGTCTAGTTCCTAGACTGACACTAAGAACACAAAAAATATAATAAGATAACAAAGAAGATAATATACAGAAAGTATTAATAGGCAAAGGAGGAACATAAAACACAAGACCTATAGGAAACTAATAGCAAGGTATTGGGCATAAATCCAACCATTTCAATAATAACATTAAAATAAAACTACACTGAGATATTCATTTCCTAACAGAATGATTAAGTTTCAAAATACAATTCTAAGTGATGATAATGCCGATGGATAAAAGAAACCTCTCACTCCTACTTGGAATATAAATTATTACAACTTTGAAAACCTTTGGGGCATTATTATGGAAAGTTAAGATGCTCATACCCTATCAGTAATTTTATTTATTTTTTTTAAAGATTTTATTTATTTGTTTGTTAGAGAGTACAAGCAGAGGGAGTGGCAGGCAGAGGGAGAAGCAGGCTCCCCACTGAATGAGGAGCCCAATGCGGAACTGGATCCCAGGACCCTGGGATCATGACCCGAGCCAAAGGCAGACGTTTACCCAACTGAGCCACCCAGGCGTCCCAGTAATTTTAGTTTTTAGTATATACCCAACAGAAATATGTGTGCATATGTACTAAGATACACTTCCATGAAAGTACCAATATATTCATAATAGTCCCAAAGTGGAAACACTGCAAATGGGTGAATATATTGAAGTATATTACTCTAATAAAATTCTACATAGTAATTAAAATGAACTATACCTATACTTAACAACATGGTTGACTCTCCCATATATAATGTTAAATATAGAAAGACCCAAAGAATGCCTACTTTATGATTCCATTCCGATGAAGTTTTGAAATCAGGCAAAACTAAAGCTGAACTATCATCTTTACAGAAAGATGCAAGTAGTAAAACTGGAAAGAAAAGAAAAGATTAATTACCTAAAGGTCAAAATCACAAGTTACTTTTGGGAGGAAGAAATAGGTAATAATTGGGAAATATCATGACGAGGTAACCTTTGGGGTGCTGGCATCTGTTCATAGTCAAGAAGAATTTTTTGTTGTTAAAGTTTGGAAGTATGCCAAAAAGTCACAAGTGTCTGGGGCACCTGGGTGGCTCAGTTGGTTAGACATCCAACTGTTGATTTCGGGTTGGGGCTTGATCTCAGGGTTGTGAGTTCAAGCCCCACGTTGGGCGCCACAGTGGATGTGGAGCCTACTTTAAAAAAAAAAAGTTACAAATGTCTAGTAGGAGTTAAGAGAGTGGGGTAAAGTATAGTTGGGACCCAAAGAGGACACATGGCACTTTAACATTTTATTCTATAAACATCAGCACTGCTTATTTTTTTTAAAAAACTAAGTATTTGTTACATGTATGATCTTAGGAAGCATGATATGATTTATAAGAGGTTAATTTTTTTTTCAGAGTCATCATCATAATGAAGATAGTCTCACAGCTGTTACAGAGGAAGCTGAGAGCACTTTTTAAAGACCTTAGAAATGTGAGCTTTTTCCTGGTGCTCATACCTGATGTGGGCCCTAATGATATCTGTATAACAAGGCTGCTACAAAGCCCACAGATTTTGTGCAAAAGAAAATACAAACAAGTTGGGATTTTTCTTCTTGGTATTCAAAAATTTCTCTGCACATATTTTTGTAGGCTCCAAGTAGAAAGCTTTTCCCTATTTAAATATATTATTACAGGAAAAATTTATCTTCTCTCTCTGAACATGTCAACTCTAACTCTGAAGCTGTCAACTCTCCCTAACAGAGCTTTTGTAAGAGACCATAAAAAAAGATTTGTGATTGTCTTTAGAGTACAGGCAATAAAGACTTGGAGCACGATACTATGTAATTCTCAGGAAAACTTTAAATAATGTATGCCCCTACAAGAGTACATTTCAGTATGAGTTCTTCTACCTGAACTAGCTTCTACCTGAACAAAGTGTGAATCAAAAGTCATCCAACTCATAATCCCTTCATTGTTTTTCTTTGACTGCTCCTGTCCTCATTAAAGTTCCTTTTTGCCCTGAAAGTCTCTACTGTCCTTCTTCCCTTTCATTTCCCTGGCTTCTTATTTCTTATCATTGCTTGGATCATCTGTTCAAGCTGCTTTTCCGTAGTAAGGAGAAGTTCCCAAAAATCTCTTCAGAATTCAGATTCCCCCTCTCTTCTAATAGGGAACAGAACTTCAGAGAGCCTTGCTCAGCAATATTAATCATGCCACTGAGTTCATGTAGCTCTCTCTTATTTTTTTTTAATTTTTATTTTTAGGCTGACTCAAAAGGCTTTTATTTTTAACTATTTCCTATATTATAAAATGAGATACATATCCTGCCAATGTAAAGGTCCTCATTGCCTTTTATTTTATTTTATTATGTTATATTAATCACTATACATTACATCATTAGTTTTTTTCATACTTGTTAATATATGTATCACACTGCGTAGTCTTGATTTGTTAACTCTTTGTTTCTTCCCCTAAAACAAAAACTCTTTGTGGTGAGGTCCCTTATTAACCTTTGATACTCCTAAGTTTAATATAGTCATTGGCACACAGAAGACTCAATATGTGTTGAACTGATAGACATAAGCTAAGCACTGGAATTCTTAGACCCATGAAATCTTTTTATAATATTAGATAACAACTGATGAAACCTCTTGAAAGACAAGGCAGAAAATAAAAAAACAGCACATTTAAAATTTAAATTATAAACTAATTTTTAATAATTATATATTATAATATATAATTTAAATTTCAAGAGGTTTCATCAGTTGTGTGATACAATGTGATACATATATTAACAGAAGTATGAAAAAAATTGAAGCAGCACAGAGGAGATAACAATCCTTTTGTTGGAAAATAAGAGGGAGAGGGAATAAAGCTTTATGATGGATACAGCCTCTCAGCAGGGGATTAATCCTAATTTACAAAGCAAACTGGAAGGTGGGAACACATTTCAAATGAAATTAGCTCATGCAAAAATCAAAATGTGAAAAAGATCATAGTATATTTCAGTAGCTAAAATAAATATATATCATTAAAACACAATGACAGGAAGGAATAGGTCAAGTGAAAATTGGAAAGGTAAGAAGCCAGGTGCTAAGTCAAATCATCAAAGATTGATGGACTGATGACTGTATTGTACTGAACCATATCTTGCAGATAGTGGGAAGCCCTTGAGGAGTTTTTAAGACAGGTGATAAATGGAGTTAAAGTGTTCTAGGATCCTTGCCTTAAAGAACTGATTTATAACAGCCCTTGATAAGTTGAGGGAGGGTGCATGCTGTAATCTCCCAGGTAATCACTAAAAGAATAATTAAAGACTGTATAACAGCCTAGAAGTTTATAATTTAAATAATATGGAAGTCCAAAAGAAAGCAAGAAAGGAAAGAAAAGAAAGAGAACAGAGGTAGACAAACTAGTATTAGGGTAAATATTAAAGCAAGAAAAATTCTTGAGATGAAGAGGAAATTTCATCAACATTGTCAATCCACCAGGAAGATATAATTCTAGATTTGTGTGTAAATAATGACATATCATTAAAATACATAAAGCAAAGGTGGAAAGAACCAAAATGATGAATAGACCATCCATTATACTGGGAAAATTTTAGCAACTTTTCTTAATAATTGATGTAACAAGCAGACAAAAATATCAGAGTATAGGTTGAATAAAACATAACACTACCCACCCAACTGAATGGCAAGAAAAATAAATAAATAAAAGAATGATAATATCAACTCTTTTGGATCATATAGAGAACTGTAACTTACATGCCCAGCATATAAAATATATAAATTGCTAAAACCACTTGGGATAACAGTTCAAGAATAGCCAACACTAGAAACTCCATTCCTAGGTTTATAGCCTGAAAATTAGTACATATGTTTAACATAAAACAAGATATCCATAGAATCAGTATTCCAAACCCCAACTGAAGAAATCTAAAATTCCAAATCCAAATGCTCATCAATAATAGAATGGATTAATGTTGAACAAAAATACCAAACACAAAGTATTACATGTTCAGGATTCTATTTGCTAAAAGATCAAAGCAAGTAAAAGAACTTTTGGAAGTCAATACAGTAACTTTTCAGAAGAAAGAATGGTTATTAACACACTTCTAAATAATCCATAGGTCAAACAAGAAGTCTCTAAGGGAATTTTTTAAAAAATGTATTGAACTACATGATAATGAAAATGCCACAGATCAAATTTTGTGTGAGGCAGCTTAACAGTGAAATTTATAGCATCTAATGTTTACATTAGAAAAAGAAACAGACTTAAATTAATGTTAAGTCCTAACCTTAGGAAACTTGAAAAGAGCACATGTACTCAAAGCAAGCAGAAAGAAGCAAAAAATAAGAAATCAAACTGAAAACAGAAAAATAGATTAAATGAAACAAAATCCTGGTTGTTGAAAAGATTGACAAAATTGACAAAACTTTAGCAAGACTGACAAAGAGAGGAAACACATTATTAACAATCTATGAAACAAGATTTCACTATCGATCCTGCAGACATCAAAAGGACAATAAAGGAATCCTACAAATAAGTCTATATGCATAAAATCAACAACTTACATGAAATGGACCAATTCCTTGAAGAGTACAAGTTATCATCACTCACTAATATGAAATAGACAATTTGACTAGCCTTGCAACTACTTTAAAAATTGAACTGATAATTTAAAACTAGCCACAAAAGAAATTTCCAAGCCTACATTGTTTCACTGGAGAATTTTACCGAATATTTTAAGAAAAATTAACACCAATTCTACACAATCTCTTCCTGAAAATAGAAGTGGAGGAAACACTTTACCTCTCATTCTAGGAAGCTGGTATCACTCTGATGGCTAAACATTACAAAGGCAGTACAAAAAAAAAAAAAAAGGAAAAAGAAAAAAACTACAGATCATATCCCCCTTGAATACAAATGCAAAAACTCTTAATAAAGTGTTAACAAATATAACAGCTTGAATGGATCTCAAGAGCATTATTCTAAGTGAGGGGGAAAAAAGTCAATTTCAAAAAGGTCACATACTGTAGAATTCCATTTATATAAATATTCTTAAATGACAAAGATGGAAAACAGGTGAATGACTGCCAGGGGTTAAAGATGCTGAGGAGATGGGGAATGGTTGTGGCTATAAAGGGGTAGCATCAGGGAGATCTTTGTGGTAATGGAATAGGTCTGTATCATGATTGTGGTGGAGATTACATGAATCTATGTATATAATAAAATGACATAGAATTCTATACACACATAGTACCAATATCACATTTTCAGTTTGGATATTGCACTATAACTATGTAAGATAAAACCACTGGGGATACTGAGTGAAAGCTACATGGGACCTCTCTGTACTATATTTGTGAATCTATAATTGTGTGAAGCTTTGTGAATCTATACTTACTACAAAATAAAAAGTTAACAAAAAAAGCGGTTTTGCTATCACAGGGCTGAAGGGGAGCTTCTCAAGAGATGGTAATATTTACTTAAATGGGGTGGGTTACATGGATTTTCACTTTGGATAATTCATCTACCTGTATACTTGATATGTACAGCTTTTTGTATATTTAATTCAACCCAATTTTTTTTTAAAATATGAGAATGAATGAAACCAGCCAGAATTAAAGTACTGAGTGAGTAGTAGAGTACTGAGGGAAGAATCATGGAGAAACCTAATTTTAAGATTCATGACAAGAAAGAAGATACAACAAAGTCTAAGCAGTGATCATAGAAAATAGAGAAAATTAGAGAATTATGGTATCATGAAAGCCAAAGGAGAGGTGAGTTCCAAGGTAGGGATTCTAGTATGTCAAATAAGTAATGGAAATGGCAAATAATAAATTGTTGGTATTTATATCTTGGGCTAAATTTCAGGAGGTAAAAAGGATGTAACAGTATATGAAAAAGAAGAGACAAGAATATAAATTAATTTATACTATTGATACTCTCAAGAAGGTTAGGAGAAAGTTGAGCCAGCATATAGGCAAAGAGAAATGAGAGGGTACAGAGAATTGATAACTGGTAGATTGTACAATGGTCACAAACTCTTCACATCCCCATATGTGCGCTCCTTTGAAATGTGACTTTGAAGCTCCTAAATATATTAAACAATTATTAACAGATCTGAAGGCAAGAATAGACAGCAATGCAATAATATTAATAGTGATAACAGATCATCCAGACAGAAAGTCAGTAAGGAAATAATTGACTTGAACTGTACTTTGGAACAAATGGATCTAACAGACATATACAGAACATTCCATTCAACAGCAGCAGAATACATATTCTTCTCTAGGGCACATGGAACATTTTCCAAAGTAGACCATATATTAGGTCACAAAACAAGTCTTCACAAATTTAACAAGAGTCAAACTATATCAAGTCTTTTCCAACTTTTCCAGTGACAGTGATATGAAACTACAAATCAACATGAGAAAAGCTGAAAAATTCATAAAAATATGAATATTGTATAACACACTTCTGAACAACCAATGGGTCAAATAATAAATCAAGAAATATTTAATTTTAAAAAAATTAAAACTATCTGGAGACAACAGAAATGGAAACACAACATATCAAAACTTATTTGATGCAGTAAATGCAGTTCTAAAAGGGACATTATAGCAATAAATGCCTACATTAAGAAACAAGAACAATCTCAAATAAACAACCTAACTTTGTACTTCAAGGAACTAGGAAAGGAAGAATAAGCTAAGCCCAAAATTAGTAGAAGGAAAGATATAATAAGGAAATAAATGAAATAGAGACTAGAAAGGCAATAGAGAAGATCAATAGAAAAAGAGTTGGATTTTTGAAAAGATGAAATTGACAAACCCTTAGCTAGACTAAGGAAAAAAGTTAACTCAATAACACCACAAAAGAAAGAGTAGACATTACAACTGATACCAAACAAATATGATCATAAGAGACTACTATGAACAATCATATGCTAACAAATTAGATAACTTAGAAGAAATGGATAAATTCCTAGAAACTACAACTTACTAAGACTGCATTTT